GTTTAAAAAATCCTATATCGAATTGAAACCAAGTTTGATTATTATAAACAGCACAACGCAAAAATTAAATTATATTGCAATTATCAACCATTTCCCAGCTTGAATGACCCTAAATAAACTGCCAAACAAAAATCTCAAACATTGTATTTCAAAATAGCCTCGTCCATCATCCAACAAGAATATCATAGAAATGTCTATCAAACTGATAAAGAAGAAAATAAATAAGCCAACCATCCACAATGTAAAATTAGCAATTTTAGTACAAATGAAGCATATATTTATAATAATTCGTAAATAAACTGCTAAAGGATACTCTATTAAACAGCAAATATAACTGTTTAATAAAATAACCCAGGAGAAATATTCGAAAAAATATTTCATCAAACTTGAAGACTCACCAAACCCACACAATTTAACATCGACAATTGTATTTTTAAAAAAGTTGAAAATTATAAATATTTAAATCAATTGTTAAGCACTGACACAGAAGAATCAGGAAACTTACAGTGTTTCAATTATTCTCATTTGAGAAAAAATAAGGGAAATATACTTGCTATCACAACTGATAACGTTGAAAACACAAACAAACCACACAATTTAATGATTTTATTGTTTAAAAAAATAGATAACCACTGAAAATATTGTATTTTAAAATGTCCGCATTCCAAGGAAAATAAGCTGAAATATCATGAGTCAATGTTTTTATTTATTTTGATTGTGGATCAAAGAAAACTTCAACTATAAAAATATAATAATAATAATTGTAAAGGGCTGCATTTTAAAATATCCTCCTTGTGGTAGATTGAAACTAAAAACTTCGATTACCAATAAAAAAATGAGCATTTTACATCAGTGTTATTTCTTAAACAATTTCGTTACAATTTAACGAGGTGGAAATGTGCAGGTATGGGGTGTATAATAGTACATGAATGTGATGTGATTTGTTTAAGTTATGTACAATGTGACGGTTTTTGATGGTTTAACAATGCTCTGCCAAAAACAAAACAATTTTATCAAAATACATCCATCCAAGAAGAAATAGCTTAGCAATATATGCTCTATCATAGTCATATCACTGAAAAACAAAACCAACCATGCACAATGGGAAATTAACAATTTTATTATAAACAAGTCGAAATTTATTCTTACTAACTGGCACTAACGAATCAATAACAGTGACAAACCTTAACGAGGTAGAGATGAATTATAGTACAAATTTTCATAATGAGATTTGTTGTCTAAATTAAGTTATATTGAGTTGAGATACTAAACACTTTTAATCGACAATAAAAATAAGAATTTTACGTCAGTGTTGTTTGTTGAACAATTTTTTTATGTTTTGTTCTTTTCTAAAGGCAAAATTTTAAGGTTTCTTTATAAAATGGCCGTTCATGTTCAAAATGTTTTGATATCATAGGAATAATGTGTGGTGCATAATTAATCATACTGGTGATTCACAGGTGAAGATGTCAGTCTGGAAATGAAAGCTCAGGGAGGAAAACCATTTCAAATTTGCTCTTGAGTCATTTAGTTATTATTTCACCTTTACAGTAAAGTCTTACATAAAGGTAGGTTTTTTGGGTGGTTCAACCACCTCTGCCAAAAAACAATAGAATCGTATCTCAAAGAACTCTCATCTATCGTCCAAGAAGAAATACATATGAAAATGTATGCTCTATTATAGTGATAACGCTGAAAAATCATAAACCAACAACACACAATGGAAAATTAGCAATTTTATTATAAACAAGTCGTAAATTATTATTAATAACTGGTACTAATGAATTACGATACGTAGTGTTTTAAAGCATTCTCATTTCAGAAGAACTAAATAGAACTGCATCTTCTAGCAATACTGCGTTGAAAACTCATAAACTAAACAAGGGGTAAAATGAATTATTTTGTTGTAAACAAAACAATAAATAAACATTGATAATATTCAGATGTCCTTATTCGAAATTAAATTAATTGAAATCTTGAAAAATTAAGATTGCTTGTTGTTATTCGTTTATTAATTGTGCATAAATTTCAACAAATACTTAAATCAGGAAAGATCTGCATTTTCAAATACCCTCCTAGTTGCAGATCTTAAATTCACAATAAAAATAAGAATTTTACGCCAGTGCTGTTTCTTGAACAACTTCACTGCAAATTTATTTTCAGTTAAGGCAAAATTTTAAGGTTTCTTTATAAAATGGCCGTTCTTGTTCAAAATGTTTTGACATCGCATCACAGGAATAATGTGATATACATAATTAATGCACTGCTGATTCACAGGGTGAAGTTGTCAGTCTGGAAATGAAAGTTCAGGGAGGAAAACCATTTCAAATTGGCTCTGACTCATTAATTATTATTTCTCCTTCACAATAAATCCTTATCGATAAAAGTGAAACCTTTACGAAGTAGAAATGTGTAGTTCGAGGCAAATTATGATACATGACTTTGTGATGAAATCTGCTGTCTAAATTATGCATATTGTAACGGTTTTTAATGATGAATTTCACGTTTTGATATGCGTAGATGTAGTTTGTAGGGGGGGGGGGGTTCAAACATTTTGCCAAAAAACAAAACAATTGTATCTCAAAATACCCTCATCAATCATTCAAGATGAAATACGTTAGAAAATATATTCTCTATTACAGTGATGTCACCAAATCACCAACCACACACAATGGAAAATGGACAATTTTATATAAACAAACCGAAAATTATTAATAATGGCACTAAATGATTAGGATACGTACAGTGTTTCAAAGTATTGTCATTTCAGAAGAAATAAACATAACTGCATCTTCTAGCACTGATGATAACGTTGAACTCATAAACTAACCACAAAACGCATAAATTTTTTTTATAAACAACAGAACCGCGATTGGATTGTAAAATGTCATTTCTGTGACGGATTGGAACTAAAAAAACTGTTAAAACTTAAAGTACCGATACAATTTAATGTAATAATGTTGTTTCTTAGAAATTCAATACAAATTTCTTTTCGGTTAAGGCAAAATTTTAAGGTTTCTTTATAAAATGGCCGTTCGTGTTCGACATCACATCACAACCTTATTTGGTGATGCATAATAAATCACAGTGGTGATTCACTTGGTGAAGATGTCAGTCTGGAAATGACAGTTCAGGGAGGAAAAGCTTTTCAAATTGGCTCTTTCCCATTTAGTTATTATTTCACCTTCACAGTACAGCCTTATCGATAAAAGTGAGACCTTTACGAAGTGGGAATACGTTGTTTATGGCAAATCACATACTTTTGTACATACTCTTGTGATGAAATTTTTCGTTTAAATTATGTATATTGTGACGGATTTTAATGAAGAATTTCACGTTTTGATATTGAATCTGTGTAGAGGTAGGTTTTTTGGGTGGTTCAACAAACTGTGCCATAAAATAAAACAACTGTATCTCAAAATACTTTCATCCATCATCAAAGAAGAAATACGTTAGAAAATGTATGCTCTACTATAGTGATAATGCTGAACCCCTAAACCAACCACGCACAATGGAAAATGAACAATTTTATTATAAACAAGTCGAAAATTATTATTACTAACTGGCGCTAAATGATTAGGATACGTACTGTTTGAAAGTATTCATTTCAGAAGAAATAAACATAACGGCATCTTCTAGCACTGATGATATCAGTTGAACTCATAAATTAACCATAAAACGCATAAATTATAATTATTTTTATAATGAACAGATCCTGGGTTGCAATTTAAAATGTCATTTCTCTGATGGATTGAAACTAAAAAACTTCAAGTAGCGATACAATTTTCATAACGTTTCCTAGAACTACAATACAATTTTTTTTTTACAATTAAGGCAAAATTTCAGGTTTCTTTATAAAATGGTCGTTCATATTCGACATCACATCGCAAGCTTATTTTGTGATGCATAATTAATCACATTGGTGATTCTTGGTGAAGATGTCAGTTTGGAAATGAAAGTTCAGGGAGGAAAATTGGCTCTGACCCATTTAGTTATTATTTCACCTTCACAGTACAGCCTTATCGATAAAAGTGAGAACTTTACGAAGTGGGAATATGTTGTTAAGGCAAATTTTGACCCATGCTTTTGTGGTGAGATTTTTCGTTTAAATTATCTACATTGCGTACGTTTTTTAATGAAAAATTTTTCGTTTTAGTGGAATCTGTTTAGAGATGGGTTTTTCTAGAAATGGATGTTGCGGTTTGACTTTACGACCGTCATGTTACGAAATGTGTCAAAATTTTTGAGGAAGGTTTTTGAGATGGAAGTCTGAATTCTTTTTGGTCAAAGGTGTTCTGTTTTGAGGGAGGGACTTTAAAAGCATTCCTGGTGGGTCCGGGGTTAAAATCCCGGACTTGCCCCGTAAAACGAAGTTCGTGAGTAGGTGATACCAATTTATGGGGGGGGGGAGAATGTGATACCGACTCAAATCTCGTATTGAACTTTTAATGTTGTCCCACTCACCTCGGGTCTGGAAGGATGATCTTCTTGCTGGCCCTAGCAGCTGGAGTGCATTTGCTCTTCTCCATGGCCATCAGATAGCTGACGTCCGCGAGGACCGCCTCCAAATCTGCCATTTTTCACTTGTTTTCTATCCGCCGCCGGTCTGAGGAGACAAACTGAAGAATAAAGGCGCTAGGCGGTCGCGGCCCCCGACACGATCACAACTCGGCCGACTTCATTTGCACATTTTAGGCCGATCCCATTTCACGAGATAAACAACCGACGTCCAGTGGAGAGAGTGTCCGTCCATTTGTTTATATCCTCGTCGCACTTCTCACATCTTCGACGCCTTTCTTCCGCAGGCACGCCGACGACTAGGAAATCTCGAAAACGCGAACCGCGAGCATAACCGGCCGAAAGCGATCCGCCAGGGGAAATTGTGAACGGCAGACGAGGAGTCTGAAAAGCGGAGACTAGACGGGGTTAAGCCTTCTTCCCTTCTCACTTTTCTAATTGGTATCAGACTTCGCAGATGGAGACACCTGCTTTGCACTCCTTTATCAACCCCACTCCACGGCGCAAACGTCGAACAAGGAGCTTATAAATCCGACAAAATCTTTTCCTTTACTATCCACCAAAAAAACACAAAAAAAAATTAACAAAGAAAAAAACTATCAAACAAAAAAATCTTTAACAAAAAAAACCCACAACCACTTTGTTCCAACAATCAGCTGTTCTCTTATCTCCAAAGCGTTCGACACACTTTCCAAATAACCTTCCCCACTCCTGGATGAACTGGCATTTGTGGAAATTCTTTGCCCAGGGGCTTTAATGAGGATTTCCGACATCTCCCGGATAGAATGGCCGATGCTAATTACGGATTGAACGGCGAAATGACAGACGAGCAAGCCAGCTATTTGACTTTGTCCTCTTACGGTGAGCCGAATACTCCATCAAACGTAATATTCGACAAACAAAACACACGCCACGTAATATTAGACCAAAACCATTCTTTTAACTGCACGCAAAATATACACATCGATTGTCCACAAAATAATATATTGACAGGCAAAAAATTCCACCCACTTATAATATAACTTGATTTGTATATATTTTTATATATTAATCAAAGTTTAACGTTTCATAATTGAGTCTGTGTAAAAAAGTTTAAAAAAATGTAAATTACTAAGGAAAATGGAAAAAACATTTCAATATCTCGTATTTCCACCTCTTGTCTTCATTACATCTCGAAGACGCCTTGACATACTTTCTACCAGTATGGAAATGTCTCTTTGGTCGAGGTAAGCCCATTCTTCACGAAGATTTCTTTCATGATCGTGGAACGTGTCAGGAAGTGATGGACTTATTCATCTTTTGAGGTTATCCCATAAATGTTCGATGGGGTTCAAGTCTGGAGAACGGGCTGGCCAGGCTAGGCCCTGTTGTTTTGCTGTTGAAGGTACATTTGTACTATGCGGGCAATATGTGGACGATCATTATCGTGCATTAGAATAGGATTGTCACTGATTTCATCGAGGATTGGCAATGCATGGTGCATTAAAATTTAATCCGCGTAGGGATTGGCTGTCAAAGACCCTCCATGAACAACACCAACTCTGTGCAACTCTCCATTGAGAGTTCTGCCCACAAGACCACTGAGCTGAAAAATGAGTCTTCGTACCTTTCATTTTCCCTTCTCCACACTCTTTCACGCCCATCCGGAGATTTTAGAACAAATCTAACTCATCTGTAAAAAGTACGGCAGACCAATTGTCAAAAGACAAACGGCTGTGTTCTTGAGCCAATGGGAGCCATGCAACTCTGTTTGGGTCAATTCTGTTCCTCTTACAGGGCAAAACGCCATACTGATTTAATCTTCTTTGAGCAGTGCTTTCAGAAAATTGGACACCTCAAACTTCCTGGAGCTGATGAATCGCTTGAACAACAATATGGTGCTGGTTTTACAAAATTCTCAAAGTCAAAAAACGGTCAATAGCTGCATACCTGACGGAAAGTCCATTATCAATAAGTGCCACACCACGTGCATCATCATCAGCACTAAGTGGCATTTTTAAGTTTAAAAATTGAAATCAAGAACAAAAAGATGAAAACTGAAAGTTTATTGATTCAGAATTCAAATGAGACTTAATAAATATTTTAAATTCCGTAAAAAGTAAACATTTAAAAATCCTTTATCCTTATTTTTGATTAAGGGTCAATTTAAAACACAATAAACAAATATTTATTGGTAGAAACAATAAGACAAATTAAGGGCAGAATTTTCTTTTATTGAGGGGAAAAAAATCAATTGGATGGAATTTTTTGCCTGTCAGCTTACATTATAATCTGCAGTGAATATATTTTTCGTCGATGCATAAATCTCCAACCATGAAAACTACGCTGCTTTAAAAAAAAATATAAAAAAAGTACAAAATAAGTAATCTTCACGTTTACTATGCTTAAGTAAATCTGTTATTAAAAATGAGGCGTAACATTTATTTGATTTGGTTTGTGTTTTCTATTTTGTTTTATCCAACTTATAAGAATGTATCACTTAATTTAATTAAAATTAATAGAATAAAAATAAATTACATATATCCCTATTAATTTTTGAGCAGTTTTATAAAATTATCGGGTTGTCCGGAAAATAATGCAGGATTTTAAGTTTTCATTAAAAAAAATCTATATAAAATATTCTGTTTACGTTTACAGGATTACTCATTTGTATGAATGTCAACACTTATTAATCCTCTTCCAAATGATATTGTTTGTTTACCTCTGTAGCATTCCGCTACTTGGAAATAATTCAGTCATCCTTATAATGTCAAAGCGAGAATTTCGTACGATTTTCTTTTACGAGTTTAAACTCGGCCGAAGCGGAGCCCAAACGGCTAGAAACATTAACCAAATCTGGGGCGAGGGTTGTGTTAATGAGTGCACTGTGCAAAGGTGGTTTAAAAAATTTCGGGAGGGAGATTTCAGCCTTGAAGATGAAGAAGGTCGTGGAAGGCCTTCCTCTCTTAATGATGATGTTCTGCGATCAGTGGTGGAAGAAAACCCCAAAACAACTGTTCGAGAACTTGCAGAGCAACTCAAAGTCAGTAAAACGACCGTCGCTGACCACCTCAAGGCGATTGGAAAAGTGAAAAAACTCGAAAATTGGGTTCCACACTCATTAAACGATCGCCAAAAAAATCAGCGCTTTGATGTTTGTGCATCACTTCTTTGTCGAAACAAAAATGACCCATTTCTGGCCAGAATTGTTACATGTGACGAAAAGTGGATTCTCTACGATAACACTAGACGTTCTGGACAGTGGCTCGACAAAGGAGAAGCTCCAATACATTTTCCAAAGCCCCCAACTCATCAAAAAAAGGTAATGGTTACGGTATGGTGGGCTTCATTTGGTTTAATACACTACAGCTTCTTAAATCCTGGCGAAACCATCAATGCTGAATCATACTGTAACCAAATTAATACCATGCATCAGAAATTGGCAGTAATGAAGCCCTCTTTGGTCAATCGGAAAGGGCCCATTTTGTTGCATGACAACGCTCGACCACATGTGTCACGTGTAACGTCACAAAAATTATTGGAGCTTGGCTATGAAACTTTGCCTCACCCACCCTACTCTCCGGACCTCTCGCCTACTGACTACCATTTTTTTAGACACCTGGACCACTACTTACAACACATAATATTCAAAAATCAAACGGAACTGGAAAATGCATTTATTGACTTTATCAATTCTAAAAATTCTGAATTCTACTCAGACGGAATTAATAAGTTACCAACACGTTGGGAGAAATGTATTGAGAGTATGGGAAATTATTTTGATTAAAGAACATTGCTTTAAAGTAACTAGTTTCTTTTTTTTTGTTTAATACCAAAATCCTGCATTATTTTCCGGACAACCCAATATAAAACAATCTGAACAATCTTTGCTCTTATTATACACTCTAAACTTCTTAGTATGCTCATAATTAAGCTCTAACCACTTCTTGAGGAATTTCATCTCATATCTCAACAAACGTAATTTTCAGCTCAGCTAAGGCTGTAAGAGGATTTTTTTTTGCTTGTTTTAACCAATATCCTAGCTCGTCCCACAATTATTCATTGGGGTTCAAATAAGGAATACAGGCTGGGCGGGTTAAGGTGTAAATGTTGACATCTCAAAGGTACTGCATAACATTGGTGGCGACAGTTAGTCTTGCATTAATTATCTTGCATTAAAAAAAATTGTTCGATCATAAACAGAGCAAAAAATATGGCCAAAATCAAGAAATTAAATTCAAAGAAATCAATAGTGTTCATTTTTTTCCCTTCTGTGGAGCAGTTTGTATCAAGCCTACATAGCACAAAGACTTAACAGTGATGAGCGCCGTATCAATGCCTAAACCGTTGCAGCCACCAACGCCCCCACAAAAATCTTTTATGTATATACATTGCATAACCTTGTATGTACAGAAATATGGTGCTAAGACGATAATATTAATATTGGTAAATGTAATATGTATTTATTCAGAAATCGTGAGATGCGGTCTGGTGTGATGTAGGTTTCAGAAAAACATTTTCTTTATCGTGCCAATGTTTCGATCTTTATTGAGATCATCTTCAGGGCTCAAAGTGTTTGTTTTCTGTGTTATATGTATGCATAAACTACAAAATGCTTGTCGTAAAATGGCAACCAAATAGCACCAAGGCATTATACTTTGTTGTTTTTCTTTATTCCTATGCCAAACCCAACCACCAAAATGTCTGTATAGATAACAAATTAAACATAATTTGCATAATCACTTTATACCTTTTGCACATCCTGTAACCTAGTGTATATGGATATATTGTGGTAAAATGGGGATGAAACAACACCTTATTTGTTAGACTTTTTTTTGACCGGTCTTCATCCATATACACAATACCGACATCAAAAAACAATTACACACATACATGATCACATACCTTATAAAACAAAATTGCTCACATAATTCCTTCATATACATACATTTCATAGCCTTATATGCAAATAATAATAATAATAAAGGAACTTTATTTGTTATAATCCAATAATGTACAATTAAATTACAGCTACTAAATAAGTACCATTACTTCAAGGAAAATTCTTTCTGGCGAAGTTGCAAACAAACAACAAAAGTGCATAATAATACAACATGTGTAAATTAATACAAAAACACAATAATAATGAGAACAAATTGAAATTAAATTATACAAGACTAAATATTCGTTTCATTGATATAAAAATATCTGTATTGCCATGCATGTCTACAAAATCCTACAAGTGACATTGGCTCATAGTTTAACTTGTTAATTAATTGGTCTCGGGAAAGGGAACCGCAGCCTAGACCTACCTACAAATCCTCTCAAACCTTAGAGTGCACAATACAGAGAGCCCAAGGGGGTGTTAGTGTTTTATGGCCAATGGTTGACTAATCATCAGCGTTAAGGTTTTGTACTGTAAAACATATTTATTCTACACTAAATAATTTACTAGAAGACTTTCAGTGAATATAGAAAATATATTACAATTAATGAAGGTTTTTAGTTGAGATAAAAAAGTCAGTGGCATGAGCGGGATTCGAACCCACGATCTTCGGCAAGATTCGCCACTGCTCTACCACTTGAGCTATCGTGACCTCGATCCACTCGGACACTAACTTCCCATCTCAACCCCACCGTTTGAATTTTCCCTCCTTTTTGCCATTTTTCAAATGTGTAACCGGATTGGATTCCGGGATCCCCCTTGTGCCATTGATTTTTTTATCTCATCTAAAAACCTTAATTAATTGTAATATATTAATTGGTCAAACGGACCACGAAATTAGTGAATTTAATGAATTAAAATGAAGTATACTTCACTAAAGCTCTCTGGGGCCATTTCATTTGTTTAATCGGATTGGATTCTCGGCGACAAATGAAAGACGGCGTATCTAGCCGAAGATCCTGGGTTTGAATCTCGCTTGTGCCATTGACTTTTTTATCTCAACTAAAAACCTTAATTAATTGTAATATATTAATTGGTCAAGCGGACCACGAAATTAGTGAATTTAATAGAAAATATAGTTCTCATAGTTTTATGTGAACCCCAACAAAATTCAGTGTAATAATGGCTAGTTTCAATTATTTTCCAGCAACAAAAGGTGTCTAACAAAATAACTATGTTCTCTAAATATATTAAATTTTAATAAAATCCCTTTTTCATTCAGGCACAAACTTTCTCATGAACTATGGATGGTATCTAGTTGGACTTGGCATTTTCTACCTCATTTACAGGGACAAGATTAATAAATACTTGGATGATTGGTATACAAGGAGGGAAGAGCAAAAATATGCTGAAAAATATCACAAAAGTATTGTTTCACTTTTTTCTAAAACAATAATTGCGTTTTGTACATTACAAAAATGACCCAAGTTACATGATACAAAATTGATTTTCTCTTCAGATCCAGATCTGGCTCGAGAAAGGTTGGAAGCTCTCACTGCAGCTAGACAGAAGATGCAAGAGGAATTGAATCAAAAAGCCAAAGAGGCAGAAGAAAGGAGAAAAGAGGTGAGATTGAAAATACAAATACACTCTCAATCCTCCGTTCTTATCTATCAAAGCGGTTGTTTCGGGTCCGACAAAGTACTGTTGAGTTGTAAACTTGGGCCAGTCCTCGTTATCCTTTATATCACATAAGTCCCTACTACACCTACCATATTCCTTGCATCTTTCAACTCCGATCCTACTTTATTAGTAGCTTCTGAAGATCTGAATCGATATATCTCATGTATAGCAGATAGTAATAATGAAAAATAAAGGGAAATAAAAAAGTGTGTCCATGTTACATTTATACCCAGAATGTGAATAGAACAATGCAACCTAGACTAACGATTTACTTGGAATCAACATATGCGACTGAAGCGATAAGTCTTAAACAGACTACAGTCTACTGGTCAATGGTTCGATCCAAGTATCAACGAAAAACAAAATTTTTTAAGTAACAAAAAAAATTAACAGGGTTTGCCACAGCAAGAGGTTATCTATCCCCAGGATGCTGGTGGTTAAAAAAAAATTAAAATAGGTTAAAATTATGTGTTTTAGTGATTTAATAATCAGCGGCATTATTTCAGAGGGAGGAGCAAAAACGACTTGAAAGGGAAAAATTACTGACAGGACATAAACTTGGCGGATCATCGAGCCAGTCACCTTACAAAAAAGGTAATTACTTTTTCCTTATTATTTTGGTTTGTTTGCTACAAACACAAAACTTATTACTTCTATTTTAACTAATAATTTATGATTATTTTTACATTTTATTACTTTCTTTCTCTTATGCTTAAATAAGTATAACTAATTAAAATAATTATGACCACCAAACACATATGGATTATTTTTATTGTTAATAACTTTTTCCTTTCTGTACGCAGAGTACAATCCTTTGATGGGTGATGGTGGATCGTCGTACAGGCCTCCGAAAAAATCTTGCTGTAAGAAAGGGGGATGTGGTTAAAATAATAAATGCATTCCTTCATGGCATTTAAACTCTTCTTTAACTTTATTCCGAGGTGTTAACTTTAATTAAAATTTGTAACTAAAAAATAAATTAATCAAAATAAATATTTATTGGTTTAAATAAAATAAGTCTTTTCATCTTGGGAGGGTCTTTCCTCCCCTTATACACAAATGGCAAAACATGTTTTTTTAATTTAATTTCAACTCAAAATAAAAAAAATAATAAAAGGTGCTGATTTATTCCTAGTTGCTAATTTATATCATTATTGATATTTGTGTAATTTTTATATTTATTAATCGTAGCATAAATAAACAGTTATACTTATTAATAATAATAATAGTAATGTTTATTTCAGACAAATTGTTTAGAATATTACAGAAAGTGTAACAAAAGACAAAAATATTATTTGCTTCATGCGATCAGCATAGTTACCACTATATTAAAACTAGAAAATAAAATTGTTTTGAAAAAAGAAAGAACCATTACAATAATGATATTTTTTATAGATTACAATAAAACCAATATAACTTAAAATTTGTTTTTTCACATTTAATTTCTATAATAAAGCACTCCTTTTAGGTATTTATACAAACAGTCTCAGTCTAATCCGTTTAGGTATAAACAAAGTTCACCTCAGTTAGTATATTTCAGTATACACTTAAGGAAATGAGAGGGCGATGTTGGTTGTGGTTATGCATCTGACTCATATTTGCCACACTAGCGGTACTGTTTGAATCTTTTTTTCGAATTCAATTGGTTTTTTAATTTGGTCAGTGAAACCCAATGGATAGTTGGATGCTAAGCCCTCTTGCATGTCTGAAATTTGTAATTGTTTACTTACTTAAAGAAATGATCAACAAATGGGATATGTCGAAAATTGGAGATATCAAAAAGTCAGCAGTGGCAGATTTACTCTCACATTTGTAGGTTGTGTATTTGATTTAATCCATCATCATTACATAAATTAAAAGAAAAAAGACCGAAGATCAAAAAGATCAACTAGAAAAATTTAAAAAAAAAATCAAACACACTGACAAACAAGACTAATATTGACACAGTCCCCTCACCATCGATGATCTCATAACTACAACTTCACTTGACAGAAATCACCAAAATTCAACACTGAAGATGGTAAAACTGATAAAATCAGCGATGATAGGCAGCCGAAGAAGATAAGTAACTATCGAACTGTAAGTTCCTAAGTAAGAGACTTCATGCCAATTGGACATGTGACTCTCAGGCAGGAATCCAACCCTAAAAAAAGCAATTCTTTGCCTGTCCAATACATTTTGTCATCTTCAGTGTTTAGTTTAGCTGTGAAATTTATTGACAAGTAACTATCAAATTATAGGTTATCACCCCGCCTACCACAGGAGGAAAGTCACAATTCTTTCGCTGATTCATTCTTGATTATTTATTCAAAAGTTAGCACAACCTTGGCACAGTGCTCAAAAATCAATGAGATCAATACAAATAAGAAAATGTGCTTTTTAATTTAAATTCATCACATCTCATATTCGTATTGTCTATCTTACCATGGAATTACATACCTGATAATAATTATTTCTTTATGTCATTTTTACTTAGATGAGATCTTACAATAACCATTCTCTCTGTTTAATTTTCTTTCTTTGGAGAACGGACAACAAAAAAACCAAATTGCCTGAAGAGGAGGTCAGAGACGATTGAAAAGGCGTTCCTTAAAGAAAAACGAAAGAAAACACCAATCCCAAACGAAAATATATTCACTTAACAGACTAGAGGTTAAGTGGAGGAATTAACTTTCAATATCTTCACTTGAGATTGGTGTTTTCTTCCACCAACTTCTTCCTTTTTTTGAGATATTAGAAATCTCATAGCTTGCCTTATACACAGTACTATTATCCAGGGTTTAAGTTTTCCTTGAGTTATGTGGCTAACGTGTACATTTATTTTTATTAACTTTTGTAATATTGTTAATAAACAATTTTAATTAAAGATTATACTGAAGTATCTATACACACCGGTTGAATAAATAAAAAGCACCACCCTTAAATTTGAACGAATTTAGGTTTATTCATATTTTGCATATTAAAAAGAGGTTTGCTTGTAAATATAAGAATTTAAATATTAACGAATTGTAAATATTTAAATAGAAAACGTTTATTACTTAATTCTAAAACAAATTTGAGTAAAGAACAAAAAAAAACAATAATAATAAAAATAACTTTTTTGTCCCCTTTACTACAGATTATTTCCACATCTGGCACGAATCACGTCCGTTAAATGCCTTTGTTTTCCATGAATAAGATTTCTGATAAAATACTGTGGGATACTTTCCCATTTATCAAAAACAGCCGTCCGTTCAACTGTCCAGGACCTGAGTTTCGCCGTCGTATTCGTCGCTTAAGTTGGACCAAAATGTGTTAGATTTGGTTCAGACATGGGCATATGGCCTTCGAGCCGGCCACACCAAACGCTCAATTACAACCTCATTCAGGTAGACATACTCAATATGTGCTCTATGGGGCCTGGCATTATCTTACATTAGCAAGAATTTCTCAGCTATGGGGGGCACTACATGTTCTACTCTGTGAAGTTAGAGAACTTTCTCGCACAACCAATTCGATGACAGCGTCCAAGGAAATGCCTGAGGAACCATACATCAATTATGCCCATCCGAAGATTTGAGGCCAACTCTCACCTCATCTGTAAAGAGAATGTACACAATCTTTCAATGTCCAATTCACATGTTCCCGTGTGAATTGAAGCCTGGCCATTTTCCTAGCTGTGGTAAGACGATGTCCACGAGCCGGGTATCGGCCCTGAGGTTATTTGCATTTAGCCTTCTTCTTACAGTCCGGGAGAAAATCGAAAAACATTTCGGACTTGTCTTATCAGATTTCCCGTAATGCGGTTTCGTAAAGCCTGATGACAAATGAGTCTCGTCTTTAGACCTAAGTCAACCTTGTCCTGGCCTTCTAGTGTGAAGCCCTGATTCAATGAAGCGCCGAAGAAACCTTCGTTTTGTAGAGTGATTTACATCCAGTCTACAAGCGGCTTCGCGCTGGCTCTAACCTTTCTCTCATAATGTTATGATCCTGACGCTGTCATACTCACTCAAAAGCCTGATTGGAGCCATTGAAAAAAGTGTAAGACTAAGAATCGTGACTTCGATCCACTCAGACACCAACTCCCCATCTCAACCTACAACCTTTTGAATTTTCCGAGTTCGTGTCTGAGTGGATCGAAGTCACGATAGCTCAAAAGGTTAGAGCAGCGGCGTATTTAGCCGAAGGTCGTGGGTTCGAATCCCGCACGTAACACTAACTTTTTCATTTCAACCAATACCTTACATAAAGAGTAACATCAAATGAACGAAGGGAAAAGATTAACTGAAAGCGATCTTTAGGCGTAGCAGAATGGAAGAGCATATGCTACTTTTTGTGCAAATGGGATTAGCCAGTACAAAAGTGTACTGTAGCTCCTAATTACCTTTAACTAATGTAGAAAGATAATGGATTTAATTTTAAACTAAATAAATTTTGATTGGTGCGTTAAATTTGTCCATCAGTGTAATAAACTGCTCAAAAATGGATAGGGATATTTGCAATTTATTCCTATTATATCAACTTTAATTAAATTAACCGATGTTAATCCTCATTTTTAATAACGGATTTATAATTTTGTTAAAAAAACACCAATTTTTCGTCTTTTCTCCATTTTAATCTAACCATGGAAAGTTATAATCTTAACCAGAAGTTCGCCATATTATTGTGAGAATGAATCATCGAGGTCATCGGCAAGTGGATATCGCAGAGCCAGGCATGGTAGGGGATCTCAGAGCTGTACGACGAAGGGAGGACAGAAATATTGTATGCCCCTTTGAGACGACCCGCAGCCACAGCCCGCCACCAGCATGATGCAGCGAGAAGAGAACACCAATTGGTTGTCAAGTTACTGATGAGTCGCGTTCCTGTATGTACAGTGATGGCAGGCGACGGAGTCTTCCGAGAACAGGGTGCGTACAATGTCCCAGTTCGTGCCCCCATCAGTGCAGTTTGGAAGAGGCGGTCTGGGCTGTGATTTACACTGGAGGGCGAACTGGACTCCATATTGTTAAAGGAATCCTCACCGCAGTACGTTATGTCCAAGAAATTATCGAGGAATACATCCCTAAAACCAAGGATCTCATTGGCAGGGATTTTCGATTTCTGGATGACAATGCCACACTTTGTAGATCGTACACATCATTGTTTAGAAAACCTGGGAATTTCCCATCCGCCCTTCCTCCATTGTCTCCAGACCACAAATTTATTCAGCACATGTGGGACGCGTTTTCAGAGAAGGCTTTTCGATCACCATCCTCAGCCAGTTGACCTGCAACTGAGTTTTAGCATTGTAACATCTAATAAAATAAAAATGCTGGGGAAAGTAAATACTATAAAATTGAAATTATCCCTATTAATTTTTGAGCAGTTTAAATGTAATATATATTATTTGATTATACATATTAGCACAAAGGGCATAAATTCAAGTAGAATTTTGGGATATGCAGGAAATCCATTTGCCCGAATGGCAAATCTAGTCCGTATTCTCTACTAAGGACCGGCTACTTGTTGAAAATCCCCTTTGGCACTGAGCCGAGCGACCACAGGTGTCCCGGTAGATGCATAGGAAGACGCAGTCGCCCTGTGCACCGACCATACAAAGAAGAGAAAAAGTGCAGGGAAAAGGGATCCGATGTGTTGGGGGCGGTTGGTGGGGTGGCTGATGTGAAAGTGGGGGCTGCAATTCTGAACAGTTCTTCGCCGACTACTCAACGCGGAACAGCGGCGCACCCGACTCGCCTGAAAACCACGTGAGTAGTTTATTAGAGAATCAGAAAAATGAAAATAAATAAAGAAAGAGAAGGACCCATCCACAAATCTATTACTGCCATCAAAATTTGACTTATTTTTGTCAAAAAAATAAAAATGACAAGATTAAACGAAAAAACCAAAGACCCTCTACCCAAATAAATACCCCTAAACGTCCTTTATATTTACTAATTTGCCTCTTTTGTAGAAAAACCGTGAAAACCTAATTAAAAGGTAGGCAATACAAATTCCATTTGATTAAAATTTAAAAAAAAACGTCTAATTTTTACCTTGGTGAAAAGGAAAACGTGTGCGGCGAGTGGAAAAAGACAGAAACACAAAAATATTTAGGCACTAAAACAGCACTGAAATTAATCGAACATCAAATTCAAGGGAACGTCGAAATAAAATAAATAAACCAATATTCCGAAAATTATTTTGATTTTTAAAGTTAATAAATAAAATTACATGTTCAAATGAAAACTCACACAAACAAATCAAATTTATCTAAAACAAATAGTAGTGCGCATATGCTGCAATTTAAAATCCAAACACTTTCGAACTGAACCAATTAATATACAACGTGCAGTACTTGCTGTTCTGAACATTGTTGGCCTTTGAATGCCAATGATAATCCATAACCAAACTCGAAGCAGTCCTGCTTGTTATGCAGGCCATTGCATAATTGCGTCCATATTGATCAATTACAACATAAACTATTATTTGTAATTATTTACTTAATATTTTTGATGCATGATTATTCGATATGTAATAAAAAGTTTGCAACAATTGGTATAATTAAAGGAATAATAATTATTTTTTTCTGTTCGACCTAGTTGAGATTGAATTATCTTCAGAAATGTCTTTACAATTTGTTAACAAAATTTACGTTTCTTTAAAAGTTTTAAGTTATTATTACTATTACTACATAAATTATTTAAAATTGTAATTGAGAAATTTTCCCTTGTGCGATCTGAACGTTAAGAACTTTATAGAAAAATCACACCCAACTGTTTGAAAAGAGACACAAAATCAAATCTAACGATTTTTGTGTTATCTCTTAATGATCGTTAAAAATTGAAACGAAATTACAATGAAAAACTACAAAGACGCATAAAAAATTGATTCATGATACAGAACAAAACAGAAAAAAAGAAAATAATAGATAAATAAAAATTACGTGCAACGATTGTTTTTATGACTGTAGATTGGCCGAGATAGAATAGAAAAGAAGAATAGACAAACAATTATGCCTACGATTTTCGACATTGCTCAACCCAGCCAAAGAAAATCATTTAAAACAATCACTTCTTATTATTTTTAGTAAAACATTTTGAGATAGCACAACATAGGCAAAAATAACAGAAAAAACGTAACGTCTAACAATTTCTTGTAAAACTGAGGTCGCCCAACATAGAAAAAATAACGTCTAATGATTATTTGTAAAACTTTTTGAGTTACCTCGACATATAAAACTTTCACATCTAACGATAAAAAATTGTTTGAGATTTGAGATTGCACAACGTAGAAAAAGAAGAACAGAAAAACATCACGTCTAACAATTTTTTGAAATAGCCCAACATAAAAAAAGAAGAACAGAAAAACATCAGGTCTACTAATGTTTTAAAAAACTGTTTCAGATAGCCCAATATAGAAGAAGGAAAATAATTGAAATATAAATTCTAACCATTTTTTGTAAAACGTTTGGAGATAGCCCAATACAGAAAAAGAAAAATAACTGAAAAAATATAAATTCTTTAAAACTGTTTCAAATACCTCGACATAAAATCTATCACGTCTAAGGATTAAAAACCAATATTGTTTGAGATTTGGTATACCCAACATAAAAAAAAGGTGAAGAATAGGAAAATAAGACGTTTAACAATTTTTTAAACTGTTTGAGGTAGTCCAACATAGAAAAAGAAGAACAGAAAAGCATCACATCTAACACTTTTTTCTAAAACTGGTTAAGGATACCTCGACATATAAAACTGTCTTGTTTAACAATTTAAAATTGTTTGAGATAATCCAACAGAAAAACAATAAGAATAGAACAAACATAGTCTAACAATTTTTGTAAAACTGTTTTAGATACCTCAACATCCAGGACTATCACGTCTGACGATTTTTCGTGAAACTGTTTGAGATAGTCCATTACTGAAAAATTGGGAATTCCATCCTTTTTGGAGAAGCATGTCGTCGTTATAAAAAGAAAACAGTAATGAATAGATAAATAAACCGTTGAATTGCGTGACTGTCTTCAAAGTTGATGCCAAAAAAATCAAAAAGTCTAACGATTGACAAAAATTGTTTAAGATAGCCCGACCTAGAAAAACATCATGTTTAACGAACTTTTAAACACCGCTGTGGTCATTGTTCGACATAGAAAGGATAGAAGCTTAGATAAAATATGACTAACGACTTTTTGTCACTATATTTATTTTATTATTTATTATTTCTATTTTTCAACACAGAGAAAGATATCGAAAAAACCCACAACAAACAATTTTTCCTAAATCTGTTTAAGATAATCAAGAAAATGAGAATAAAATAAAAAAATCACATGTAGGAATTACTTATAAATGTTTTAAAAACAAAACACAAAGGAAATAATTAATTCAAAAACCTGTTCAAATTGAAAATATAGGAGAAACGACGAAATATATTGTTACTTGACATTATTTACGAGTAAAAATAATTATAACAAAATTAATTTTGTTTGTATTACATTATAATTTATTTCGTCAAGTTAAACGTAAGAGGAAAAGGACGAGACAGAATTTTCGGTCGGTAATTTATGTGTGTTAAAATTAGGTGATTTCTTAATCTCTGGTGCCTCCTAGTCTTGCTCATTATTTTAAAATCTTACGCCTTCTGCATATATGAATTTTAATCAAATTGGCTTTTATTCACAAGTTTTAACAAGCATAAGCTTTCGAGCATTTTAAAAATTTCTTTATCTACCGAACTCGAGTGGGAAACTGATCGACGATAATGAATTAGGTCTAACATATTTCTTTGTTAATCCATTCAGCTTAATAATTTAGATGTCATAATTTTATTTTGTATGAAATGATAAGGATAATTTAATAGAAAAAAAGCTTTCGAAATATATCCACTATCATAATTTTATTCGGTATCTATAATTATATCATAAACTTATAAGTAATTGTGGACATATTTTAGGTTTTTATTATTGATATTGAGTTTATTCTTAACAGTCATGTCCAAAATTTTTAGATTTTTATATTCAATTGCGACGTTAATAATAGCTAAAAATAACATTATCCATAGTTTTATCAATTTCTTTTGTATAAATGGAATGTTTGAACGTGCTACTGTTTTGTGCATCGGCCTTGAAACATCAACATCAACTGTGAAATTTTAATTAAGCAATTTGGGGGGTGTCGGTGGCCGCAAGGTTTAGTCTTTGACACGGCGCTCATCACTGTAAGGTAAAGGTCCCGGGTTCGAATCCAGCGGCCCTGCATCCTAACCCGACATACTTACAAATGGGCCACCGGCACCCTGAGGGTTTATATGACCTCTGCTGTTGCGAACCCTCGTAAAAAAAAAAAAAAAAAAAAAAAAAAAAAAAAAAAAAAAAAAAAAAAAAAAAAAAAAAAAAAAAAAAAAAAAATTAAGCAATTTAAAAAAAATGTATATTTTTGAAATAGTTCAATTCTTTTTTTAAATTCACTAGTTTTCGTGGTCCGCTTGACCAATTAATATCTTTCAATTAAGGTTTTTAGTTGAGATAAAAAAGTCAGCGTCACGAGCGGGATTCGAACCCACGACCTTCGGCTATATACGCCGCTGCTACACTTCGATCCATCCCCATCTCAACCCAACCTTTTGAATTGTCCCTCCTTTTATGCCATTTTTCAGATGTCGTGTAATCGGATTGGATTCTCGACGACAAATGAAATGGCCGCGGAGAGGTTTAGTGAAGATATACTTTTTTTAAAGTTCTTTTTTTAAAGTTTACATCACTTAATATGCTGTAGTATGTTTTTATGTTTAAGACATTTGTTTTATCGTTCTTTCTTTCGCTCCTTTTCTATCGGACGGAATGAAACACAAATGTTACAAGTGATCATTATTTTGTATTTTTTGCCAATTTTTCACTATTTTTAATCCTTACTGCTTTTCTATTCTAAACTATCTATATAAAATATTTAAATAAATCCGTAGACGTGATTATTTTTCTGTTTGGACCTATCCCAAAGAGTTTTACACATCGTTAGACGCGCGTTTTGTCTTCTCTGCTGGAAATATATAAATTGATTTATAATTTTTATACAAAATGTGGATGAGATGAAAATTTAGTGTGGCGAGCTGAACTCGAACCCACGATCTCCGGCTCTGTACCCACGAGGTCGTATGTTCGAGTATTACTCGGGCCAACTAAAACATACGGATTAATCTATTAATTAATAGGTTAATCTATTCCACGACACATCTTACATCTGGTGGCTGGTGTGGGTAAAAGTGGAGCATTTTCGTTTTCAAGAAAATTTACGTTACTTTTGCCTTTCCTCACCTCGAGAAAATTCTATCATTAAGAATCTTTGTGTAGTTAGAATAACGACCTACATTTTTAATAGAAGCAGATGAAAATAGCTACATAAACTTTTATAGTTTTGCATTCCTAATGGTACTTGATTTAATTGTAAATGGTTCAGAAGTCAATTGTCCATTTTGTGATGGATATCTATTGGTTTGGCCTCGAAACAACTGATGAATTATGTTAGTTATGAATTGCATGAATTGCAAGTTTTGCAAGATTTGCAGTTTCTGTTTATTCACAAGGTAAGCAGGTTAACTATATAGCCGATCGTATATTGGAAAAGTGAGACAACATCCAGTAAAAGGTACTGGAGATATCGTTAGAATATAGATTAACGAAGTAAATGTAACAATATATAAACTGTAGTTCTGACTTTGTACAGAATTGCGGATAATGTTTAATTCTAGGTGTGATTAGTTTCTTTTTTTTTGT